CATCCAGTTTTGAAATTCAGTTTTCATGAGACTAGACAGTCATCAAAGAAATTAAGAATTGGTTGCACAAACAAATAATATCAGCCACATAAATCTAAAAGATTAAAAAATCAGGAGATCGGCTTTTAATAAACAAAGTATTATCAATGCTACTCCTATTAAATCTTTTATAATGTAAACACCTATATAATCATTCACACTTGGCTCTCAATGCTTAATTTAAATCATAGGAAGCCTTATCAAGTTTAAAACATGATTCTGAAATTTGTATTCTTAAAGCAGATGGGTGTGAAACATAAACCCTCACAGATAAAACTATCAAGAAAGACACTTTGAAAAACCATTTATAATCATTTTTGAAATCTTTAAACCAAGAGAATGCAAGCAATCTTCTATGATATCTACTCCTGCTATAGTGGCATAGGTTTCAATAAAATCAATACCTTCTTCATGTTTGTATCCCTGAGAAACTATTCTTATATTATTTTTTATGACTTTTTATCTTCATTCAGTTTGCTTCTGAAAAATACGGATCAACCACAATTTCATTTTCTAATTTAGTTATTAGTGTCCAAGTAATGTTAATTCTAAACTGATTTATTCTTCTTGAATTCCATCTATCAAACAATTGTCATCCATCATTCGACATTTTAGGTTCAATACCAGATGTGAATGCGATGAATTTAAATGCTACCTCCAAGAGGATTTCGTTGATTTAGTTATAATCCTTCTTCATTATTTTCCAAAATGTGTTTATTTGATTATTTTTAATAAACTTATATTTCTTAGAAAATGAAGAATATTTCTGTTCTGATTATAAATGCTTCAAATCAGAAAAAGTCAGCTAACATTTGTTAACTAGGCTATTTCATCTTAATACATTTAGGTTGCACCCAAAATTATCAGGGCAATGTTTCACATTAAAGATATGAATATATTCTTCTACTGTAAATATGGTAAAGTCTAAGAATGCTCTAGGTAACCAAGTAATAGAGCTTCATTAATCATTGGATCAAATTTTTTAAACTCCTTTTTTTCATTTGCTAAGATGAAACGCTTCCATCTAAATGACTTAAAATAGTGCAAGTTGGACTCTTTTGTTCTTCAAGACCTCATATCGCATCTTTTGTGGATTGATCTCATTTAAACACTATTCACTGCTTCAACCTAAATATAAATTGGCAAATGATTTTTCAAATCTTAGTTCAAGTCAAACAAAATCAAAAAAAAAAAATCTCTACTACTCCATTTTGTTGTTGAGTTTCTAAATGAGGCCATATTTATAATATACATCAGAAAAAAAATTACTTTCACATTCATATCCACGATCACTCAAAATGCAACCAATTAAAATTCCTTTGACTGAAAATCAGTTCTCAAAATATTGAGAAATACTTGACACACTCTTTCTTATAAAGCCATGTGAACCTCGAAAAATCATTGATTAAAATGAATACATAGTTTTTCATTTGAACTAAGAACATTTAAAAGACCAAAGAAATTGAAGTCTATTATTCTATGGTCTGCTTGTGAACACAAATTTCTTAGACCTTAAGCTTGAGTGAGTTTGAAGCATTTCATTACATAATAAAGATTTTAATGGAGTTTACTGTTTTATTTGATGCATCTAATGAAGAGTAAAAGTAAGTAATACCCGGGAAAAACATACCTATCATTTGACCACACTATCTCCTCTAATGTTCCCACAGATGATACCTATCAAATTATTTTTTCGTCTAGCTAAAAATTATTCGGTGTGCAGTGGAGTGGTCCTACGCTTCTCATTACATTAATTTTCTCGCATGTTACACCTGACTATTTGATACCAATAGCGACAGGAGTAGTGGGAGATAAGGGAGATGAGAGAACGAAGAGGAAGATGAGCCTTTACTACCAGGCGCATAGTTCGAAACCCCCAAAACACTGATTAAAATCCTACCGGGCCACGCCCGAAATAGATAACAACAACATTCACGAATCAAAAGATAGATTAGAATGCATATTTTAGATCATGTTTGTGCTTAACATAAAATGGAAATTTATATCTTATCAAAATACAATTAATTGAATTATCATATATAAATTACAGATCTCAAGCAGCTCTTCTTCGTGGATCACACAACCCGTATGTTTCTCCAGTATGTTAACCTCTTGAGTGCCTTTACTGATTGGTGACTCTTTCCTCCCTGGCTGAGATGTATGGCTGAAGACTATTCCGACAGCAGGAGTCTACTGGCACTGTCGCAGGTATCTTCCCCATAGCAGGTAGAGTCACCAATCCTGTAATGTGGCCAGTGCATATGGAATCCATTGGCTACTGTTTGAGGTTATCATTCAGAGATAATTATAGAGGTCAAAAACTCTGCTGTGGACGCCGGCAACTGAAGAATATGCAGGAGGTGGTGGTTGTCATCGCCCTCTCTTGGACTTTTCGCTGCCTGCGTGGCCACTTTGTCGCCTCAGTTTAAGTGATTCCGCAGGCCCTGTCTAGGCTTCGATTAAGAAGTTTTCCACAACCAGTGGGCCCCTTATAGTTATTTTATTGTAACTGGTGGTCATCTCAAGATCTCTCCTGTGCCAATCTCTCTTTCTTTCATCTCACTCTAAACTACAGAAGCAAAGTCTATCTCCTTCACAAAACAAAATAACATCATTGAGTAAATAAAGAAACTAATAGTGGAGATCGAAAGACGATGATGCTTAAGATGCTCTTTCGTGGGCTATTTTGCCCGGAAGGGGAATACCAAGTATGCCACACCCGAACTCTACCTTCACCAGGCGCAATACACAATACACTTGACTCCAATATTTTTGTTTTTGATTCTCCTTGCATAATTGTAATCAATGTGACAGTTTATCTCTTCTACCGAGCAAGTGCCTATCTTCATATGATGGAGTTTAGTCTAAACTCATACGAGTGCCTCGCTGATTTCTTTTGCGTCCAACTGTCCACGTTGAATGTACTAAACATTTATGTGACTACGTACGACATAACTCCTAAATATCCCGATGACGAATGTTTCTATGAAACGAACTGCAGAAGTTCTTGGCATCGTAATGCTCCTGGCCCTTCAGGACATTAACGTACGATAAGAACAAGCGATTCCCAAGGCCGATAATGGATCACCTTCGTGGGATGCTCGTTTGAGTTCAGACTTTACCGTTTCCTGAACAAACTTCTCTCTTACACTCTTTGGCGTCGTTCAAACGTCATTTATCTTCACCGGTCGACGTTAAAAAACTAACGAAAATTGTTCTCTTGTGTTTCGAAGTATTTTCTTATTAAAGACGAGAAAATTTACCATACACATACTATGATGGGGAAACTTGCCTCTCTACATCTATTTTATGTTAAATATCACTTGTAGTATTAGGAGTTGAAACAAACCATATTTTGTTTACATAAAAGTCAATAATTGTCGTAACTAAGGGAAGATATAAGGTTCGTCCTACATGATCAAGAATTGCCAATAATTAATCCAGAAAAATCATTTTCATTATAATATGTCATTATTTTATTTCATATTGAACTATTTAAACATAAATTTATGTTTAAATGAATTTATGTATCTCATGCAGATATCGTAAATAAAGTTGGAAATTATCATTACCTATTTGGGGGTGAACGTAAAAATTAATTGCTGACATCTTATTGGGGGGTAAGATCTTAAAATCATATTCTTCGCTACTCTACATGATTTAAAAAGCGTGAGGAGATACTAAGAGATAATTTATATTTTAAAATGACTACCTATTTTTATTAATAAATATATTATAATGCAAGCTTTTCTCTCTCAATACTGGGAAAATTACTCACGAGGGAACTATGTTCATGGGGAACTCTTGAAAGCACGCTCTCCTGGAACGGCGTCAACCCGGACAGCACCCAGACTTTAGATTGGCATCTAACAGAATATCCTCCCATCCCAGCGGCCACCAACCTCCTTCCACATCTTCATCTGCCTGAGGTGGACAACGGAGCAGCTCTTCCTCGGCTGGAAAGGGAATGGCATCTTTTTTTTCCCGTTCCTCCTGTTGCCACTGTCTCTGATGCTTTTCGTCGTCTCCCAGCAGAAGTCTCGTCCACGCCACGAGATCTTGCTGGTTGTCTGACCTCTCATCTGTCGAGGAAAAGCGCTGTCCCCGGGGGAGAAATTTATGGCACGTGATGATGTCTGGTAGGCAGGTCGGGCCTTCGGACAAGGTTCGAGGCCGAGGCCTGAAAATCTCGTGGCGACAACCACCGATAGCCTCTGTGAAGCGAGCTAGACGAGGCGTCTGCCTAGCTTGTCCCAATATGCAGGACTTGTACCTCTCCACAGCCAAGCCGACGGTGTTTCTTTTGTTGATCTTCCTGGCCACCTTCGCTTGAGCTCCCACCTTCTTGCTCCAGCAGGAGTTCCAGTAGTTCTTGATGTCGTTCGCCGTTCTGCCTGGAATTCTACCCCCTATTAGCGACCACCTGAAACATTAAGCACGCTTAGTTTGACGTCTGAATCATGGCCTCGTTGTTGAACGGGAGGTCATTCTTGGGGAAGGTCTTCTCTAATAACTAACCTGTTCCCCAAGAGCTTGTGGAGCCGGATGATAAGGTCGACTTCGTCCTCCTGAAAGTCCCCACGTTTGATGCTCGGCTTGAGATAGTTGAGCCACCTCAGACGGCAGCTCTTACGGCAGCGTCTCAATCCTGAAGATTTATTAGAGGACGACGGAATAAACTCGTTCATAACTACGGAAACAAACTCACCGACCATCAGTGTTTCTACTTTGTGCGAGTATGAAACCTATTTTTTCGCTTCATATCGTGGAAGGGGAAGCTAAACGAGTTAAACGTCAAGACTCATGCAACCTACATAATTTAAGTAAGATGAAGCCGTACCTGCCCTCACTGGAATTAGATGCCACTGCCCTTCACCATACAGGAGAACGCATCTCTGGAGCAGGGTATCTTCCTCTGGAGTCCAAGCCCCCTTTCTCACATCCGCGACCTGATTTTCCATTTTCGAAGCGTTCAGTCCTTTCTTCTTCCCCAGATCAGACACTCTCCATTACCTTCTCTCATAGGCGATTTATAGGTCTCCGTCTGTGTTCGGTACACAGCGAAGTATCTCTAGAAGAGTACTCCCGAAGGCGTAAACGTGGAAAGATGACCCACGGGCAATAATATCTCTCTGCCAATTATTAGTTTGTCGAACCAGAGTCTGGAGAGGTAAAAGTACACCCTACTGGGATTACTTCTCCCCCCTCGACCACATCCTTTCATGCTTACCCCTCCGGAGGCTGCGGAAGGGAATGGGTTGGCAACGTGGACGTCTTCCGTCCGTCGTTGGTTATTATCATCCTTGATTATGTTCCAATGGCCGATGAACTGTCACTATCGACGAACTGCGGCTACGGTGCACCCTCATCACGCAAGAGGTGTATGGGTTACTGTGGGTGGCTGATGGGCTTTCCTGCTCGGCCTTGATAGATAGACCGGCGTTGCAGCTAAATTAAGGTCACTAACGGAATGCTAAATTTTTACTTTATTTTGATTTGGAGCCCCACAGGATCATGTCCCTCCGTTAACGCAAAAGTAGATGGCAAAGAGTGCCCTGCGTAATCATCTTTCAACAACTTACTCGAGGACCTAGTCGTGTCAGCGCATGTCACAGCAAGATCTGCCGCTTCGAAGGGGATCCCCGGGGCGAAGGGGGTCACGATGATCTGATATGCCGGATGTACGGCTATTTTGATATTAGATCTGGATCTGCTGGATCTATCCCATACTTTGAATAGGTAAAGCCCGTTGCCTTCTTTCCAGTTATTATCTATCTTGAGCCGAAAAATACAAAGGCTGACAAATAAAGTTGCTCCGCCCGATGGCAGCAGTTCAGGTCCGTCCTAGGCTCTACTCACTGATTCAACCGACTGGTGTCTAATGAGGTCCTACGGTGGCCGTCCTACGGTCCCCCAGCTGGACGGTGTAGCAATGAGCAACTAATCAGCCCAATGAACCCCGTCCCGTCAGATTGCCGCATTATTACAGAATATGAAGACTGCTGACAATCTGACACTTCATACGAAGAGGAAAGGAGCCTCTCATGTTGCGGCCTCATTGGAGAACTGGCAAGGGGAGAGAGAGAAGAACTTTTTTTAAGGTGAAGATGCCAGTTGGAAGAAAATCGTCGGCAGACGTAATGTAACGTGCCAAAATTTTGTCCAATAATTACCGCAGACCCCTTTCTCATTTCCAAACATAGATGTGAATGAGGCCTATGCGTCTATCCTCCACGTTCAGGGATGTTGACTAATATGAAGTCCAGTTGAAAGGGGCAAATACGTCCATAGTGAAAGGATGGATATCTCGTACCCGAAAACTTGCAGTTCGCCCTGTCACCCCTCTAGGACCTAAATAAGTCAGAATATTACCTTTATACTGCCGATTTCGTCAGTCACTCAAATTGTTTTCATCTCAATTTTTTATTTTGTGAGATACTCGAGTTATAAAATAGCCGATTGAGGAGAGGTATTTCTGAGATCTTGCAGTTACGATCGTTTTGCATCAGTTATGTCTAACAGGAATTTGTGAGTTATGTGTCTATAATTACTCTTGTGAACAAGTGATGTGTATAAAATAGGGGCAAATTTAATAAATGGGCAGTGTCAACAACTGATATAGGTCGAAGGAGCCATTATAGTGGCTATTGGCATTGGTTGGCATTTTGGCTGATGACGGATACCTGCGAGTGTTTATTCGTTTTATAATCATAAACTTTTCCTTCATGTGACTACAGTTTGCATATTTTGTCGTCGGAAGGGTTAGCAGTGACGACTATCAGAATCATACGGGATGGGGAAGTCTATCAGAATTATACCGGATGGGTCGGCAGTGAAGGGAATTCCTCGACTTTATTGGTGTCATATATTCTCATTTTCATTTAATAGAAATTGATAATACCTTCAAAAACGCCATGTGGCATATTAATTGATGTCCTGATTAATAGGACAAAAATCTAAGGTGATAGACAAAAAATCTTGAAATAACAGCTTATTTGTTAATGGTCAGAGGTTAATACCCCTGACGTATGAGTGATGACGTGAATAAGTTAAAGATTGATTAATCCAGTGTTACATGTCTTATTTTATAATAAAATAATCGAACCACAGTTTTACAGAATAATTTAATATAATACCAGTAATACTATTATAACGTCCAGAGGTTGTCTAGTCAAATTCTCACGGTACACCATAACATGCTGTGCAAGATGTGACGAGATAATTAGATATGAGGATCGAGTCAATTCTTTGCACAGTGAAAAGGCAAGATTTAACCTCTCAATTATTTGTCTTGATATTATCTGCGTGAACGACACTTGAAACTTTAATTTGTAGCATTTACATTTCAGAGGGAGGGATAGAGAGGAAGACAGGCAGGGGAGAGGAAGTGTGGAGTGGGGAGGGTGTAAGCCATAAAAGGGGAGAGAAAGAGAGAGAGGGGCAGCACAGCGGACAAGAATAGCGGATATATAGGTGAAGTGGGTGTGAGGGAGAAGAAGTACGCGAGGGAGGGAGCAAGGGAGGGAGAGAGCGAGCGAGAGAGAGGAGATCGCGAGAGAGAGAGCGAGAGAGAGAGAGAGAGAGAGAGAGAAGGAGAAGTAGAGCGAACGAGAATAACGGATATGTAGGTGAAGTGTGTGTGAGGGAGAAGAACGAGAGGGAGGGAGGAGGGGGTAGAGAGAAGGGGAGCGAGGGGGAGGACTCTGATTTGTTCCACAGAGTACGATCGCATTGGTTTGTGTCCACCAAAGGAATGTCAACCTTTCCAAATGACCTCTGTATTTGTGCCACAGGCATTAACCTCTGTATTTTCTGTAGTCGCGAGATTCGCGTCTCTCTTCATCCACCTTTCCAAATGACCGTGTTTAATCATTGTGGGATAGCTGACGCAGCAAACGGTAGCAGATTTTGCTTTCATTAATAGTCAGTGATACCCGTAATAAGCCCCTAAGTGATACTTGGTCGTTAAAATGCTAGATTTGGGTATTCGAAGCTGTTTGACAGTGATTATAAGGAAATTATCTGAGAATCATCTCGAACAAAATCCCGATATAGAGGATTATTGCCTCTGTATGTATTCTTATAAGTATGAATATAACGAACCTTCTTGCTACCCCTTCATAGTCTACTACCCACCTCGCCCGAACTCTCACCTTGCTAACCTTTCAGTAAAAAGTAGATACTGAAAGGGATCTGGTGTTGTCCGAAAGGTTGAAAAGCTCGCCGTCCTCCAGTTTCTCACCGATTTCGTCGTTTCTGACGCCTAGGTTTTAAATTATCAAATTTGATGGAGATGCCTCTGACAATGTGTTCACAGTCCCGTGAGGTGAGCACTCTCCCATGTGACCTGAAAGTCAAGTTGATTTTCTCACATCGCACGCGAAGGTTCCTCAAGGGGAGCAGTCGCTTTCAAAGTTAAAGATACTAACGGAAAACTCCTTTTACCTAATTTTCCAATTATTGGGATAAGTTCCTACCACATGAGTAAATTTTAAGCAATAAATAATGTCATCCAGTTTTGAAATTCAGTTTTCGTGACATTAGATAGTCATCAAAGAAATTAAGAATTGGTTGCGCAAAAAAATAATATCATCCACATAAATCTAAACAATCAAAACATCAAGAGACTGGCTTTTAATGAACAAAGTAGTATCAATGCTACTCCAGTAAAATCTTTTATAACGCAGGGACTTATACAATGTTTCACACTTGGCTCTCATTGCTCAGTTGAAATCATAGGAAGCGTATCAAGTTTAAAACATGATCCTGAAATTGTTATTCTTAAAGCAGATGGGTGTGAACCATGAACCGTCATAGATAAAACTATCGTGAAAGACACTTTGAAAACCCTTTTATAATCATTTTTAAAATATTTAAAAGAAGAGAATGCAAGAAAAATCTCGGATGGTATCTACTCCTGCTATAGTGCCATAGGTTTCAATAAAATTAATACCTTCTTCATGTCTGTATCTTTGAGAAGCTATTCTTGCTTTATTTTTATGACTTTTATATCCTTATTCATTTTGTTTATGAAAAATACTTAGTACTAATCACATTTTGATTTTCAAATTTAGTTGTGTCCATCAATGTTCATTTCAAGCTGATTAATTCTTGGTGAATTCCATCTATCAAACAATCATTATGCATCATTCAGAATTTTAGGTTCAATAGCAGATGCGAATCCAATAAATTTCAATGCTATCTCAAAGAGTATTTAGTTGATTTAGTTATAATCCCATATTCATAATTTCCCGAAAATTTTATTTCTGATAAACTTATATTTCTTAGAAAATTGGGAATATTTCTGTTTTGATTCTAGATGATTTAAATCAGAAAAATTCATCTCATTTGTTAAGTTGGCTATTTCATCTTAATGCATTTAAGTTCCACCCAAAATTATCAAAGAAAATTTTCACATTAAAGATAATCTGAATATATGCTTCTGTTGTAAATATGGGAAAGTCTAAGAATGCTCTAAGTAACCACGAAATAGAGCTTTATTGCTCTTCAGATTATTTTTTTTCAACTCCTCTTTTTGATTTGGTCGGAAGAAACGCTTACAGCCAAATGGCTTAAAATAGCTAAAGTTGGAATTCTTGTTCTTAAAGACCTCCTATGACATCTTTTGAGGATTGGTTTCATTTAAACTCTATGTTCCAAGGACTATTCACTATTTCAACCCAAATATAAATTTGAACTCATTTAAACTCTATTCAAATTATAGCTCAAGTCAAAGAAAATTTGATATTTTTCTCTCTACCACTCCATTTTGTTGTTGAATTTTTTAAATAAAGCCATGATTATAATATAAATCAGAAACAAATTGACTTTAACATTCACCTCCATGATCACTCAAAATACAATCAACTAAAATTCATTTAAGACTGAAAATCAGTTTTCAAAATACTGAGAACACTCTTTCTTATAAACCCACATGAATCTCGAAAAATTATTGATTAAA